TTTAGGTTATTTTCCTGATTTTTTGCACACAAAAAAAAAAAAAAACACACACACACACATATATACATATATATATATAAATATATATATAAATACATAAAAATAAATATTTTTAAATTTTATAAACATAAATTAAATAAAAAACTAATATTATATTATTTTTTTAGGTTATTTTCCTGATTTTTTGCGGGAGCTGGCTGCGGTGATTGGTCGACGGTACAGAACAGAGGTGCGTATACACTGGAAATTTTATATTTCTGGGGCTGCATGTTTGCATGCAGTTATAAATAAAGAAGTAGATATTACGGATATTTATTTTTTACAAGCTATCACGGATGATGATTCACTTAAACCTGATGCACTAGCTGCAGCAGCAACAGGAACTGCAGCAGCAGCAGCAGCAACAGCAGCAGCAGCACCTGCTGCTACTTCTTCATCAGAAGAAGCAGCAGCAGCAGCAGCAGGAACAGCAACAGCAGCAGCAGCCCCTCAAGCGGCTGCAGGGGGGGGGGCCCCCATCCCCCAGGGGGGTAGTGGGGGGGCCCCCAGGGGGGGGGCCCCCAGGGGGGCCCCCGGGGGGGCCCCCATGAATTCTAGGGTAGATGCAGCAGAGAAGGGGGTGATGGGGGCTTACTTTTATAAGACTTGTCCTGTGGTGGGTTCTAGTGTTTTGTTTGTAACAAAAGAAGAAGTAAAGGTAGCGGGGTTGAGAGATATAGTTATGTTTATAAGGAACCAGAGAAAGAAAAAAAAAGAAAATAAAAAAAATAATAATATAAATAGTAATATAAATAGTAATAGTGATAGTATTTATAATTATAATTATAAAGAAGAAAAAGAAACAGAAGAAAAAGAAAAAAAAGAAAAAGAAAAAGAAGAAGAAGAAGAAGAAGAAGAGGAGGAGGAGAAGCCAGTTGCTTTTCTTACACAAGCAAATCAAAAACTTTTATCTTTTGTTCTTCCCCCAGATGTTAAGTGGATCGTTCTTAATAGTAAGCTCGTAGAGGGTTTAGGGTTTAGGGTTTATGAGGGTTTATGAGGGTTTATGAGGGTTTATGAGGGTTTATGAGGGTTTAGGGTTTATGAGGGTTTAGGGTTTATGAGGGTTTATGAGGGTTTAGGGTTTATGAGGGTTTAGGGTTTATGAGGGTTTAGGGTTTATGAGGGTTTAGGGTTTATGAGGGTTTAGGGTTTATGAGGGTATAGGGTTTATGAGGGTTTAGGGTTTAGGGTTTATGAGGGTTTAGGGTTTAGGTTTCAGGAGTCGTTCTGTAGCGAATTATAGATTCTTTTTGTTTCTGCTGCTGTTTTTTATTTTTCGTTTTATTGTTTTTATTTTTATTAATTTTTTGTTTTTGTTTTGTTGTTTTATTGTTTTCATTGTTGCTGCTGTTGTGTTTCTGTTTATATATTTATATTATTTTTTTTTATTTTTTATTTTTTTTGTTTTTGTTTTGCCGTTGTATATATTGTTACATTATTACTTTCTATTATATAATAAATATATAAATATATAAATATATAAATATATAAATTTATAATATATAAATATATAAATATATAAATATATAAATATATAAATATATAAATATATAAATATATAAATATATAAATATATTTATATATAAATATATAAATATATAAATATATAAATGACCAATAGCACCCAAACAACTAAACAAATAAATAAACAAAATAAATAAATAAAATAAATAAAATAAACAAATAAACAAATAAATAAATAAATAAATAAATAAATAAATAAATAAACAAATAAATAAACAAATAAATAAACAAATAAATAATTTATTAAATAACTAACTAAACAAACAAAAAACAAACAAACAAAAATAAATAAATAAATAAATAATATATTTGTTTGTGTATATACAGGAAAAAAAGCC